AGGGCAGGAGAGCTCACTCGGCAGATAAAGGCGCTTGCTGCCAAGCTTGATGATCATGGTTCAATTCCTGGAACCCACATGTTGGAAGGAAAGAACCAGTTCTGACAAGTTGTTCTCTGACCCTCACACGTGTACTGTGGCTCTTGAGCACACACATACACAAACACACATCCACCCACAAAATAAGTAAAATGTAGTAAAACAAAACAGTGGGTACGGTGGCACAAGCCTGTAATCCCAGCACTCAGGAGGCTGAACCAGGAGGACTACTGTGAGTTCAAGGCCAGCCTGGAATACCTTGTCACAAAACACCAAAACCAGGGCTGGTAAGATGGCTCAGCTGGTGAAGCTGCTTACTACCAAAACTGACAACCTGAATTCGGTTCCTGGGACTTCCTGAGGTGGAAGGAGAGAACTGACTCCTGGCAAGGCATATTTGTACCCACATACATACACATAGTCACACATACACACAAATAAATATAATAAAAAAAGCCAAAACATGGGCTGGAGAGATGGCTCAGCGGTTAAGAACACTGGCTGTTCTTGGAGAAGACCTGGGTTCGAATCCCAGCACCCACATGGTGGCTAACTAGTGTCTATAACTCCAGTCCCAGGGGATCCGAGGCCCTCTTCTGTCCTCTGTGGGCACTGCACAACACAGGTCCACTTACATAAATGCAGGCAATAGATGCATACACATTAAAAAAAAAAGCCCAAACACAAAACAACAAAAAAGTGTGAGGAAAGAACTTCCTGCAGGAGAGAGTTAGGTCAGACCTCAAGATTGTCTTCCAGGCTACGAAGGCAGGAAGCACATTGGTTTATTATTTTCTATAGTCATACCTGTTTTTTCTCCCCTCTGCCCTCAGCAGGGTCTCCTTTCTCCGGGTAGACCTGTGAACACAAGGCCTGGTGGGCTAGAATTCCTTCCCTTCCCTACCGCTGCGTTAGCCTCCTGGAAAGGTTTTAAAATGAGACTTAACTCTGAACCCTGGAGTCTCTAGAGGCACCTCTACCCAGCCCTGGGCCTGAGAGGTGGGAGCCCCGTGTTTAGAAAAGCTGGAGTTCCTGCATCCAAGGTTCTTAGCACAGAGAACCTGGCCTCCTACTTCCTGTTCCCTTCCCTTCCAGCCTGAGCTGGCTCTGAGGTCCAGGGGTCTAGGAGTGGCTTGTAGCAGACAGCAGGTTCAAGCTAGGGCCTAGCAGATGTCTGGGCTTGGGGGGCTGCTTACTATATGACCCTAGGGAGGTCACTTCAGGTCACTATTCTTCTACAGTGTCTAACTCACTGGCTGCCCTGGGGCAGGGGACACCATGGGAATCCCTAAGGAGTGTGTGTTTGTGCATGTCTCCATGATGGGTCCCAGGAGGCCATTTGGGGCCCACAGGTTGAGGGCTGATGACAGAAGACTCTTGGCTGTGGAGGTCTGGGGTGGCCCAGGATTGCTGCCAACAGACCAAGGTTTCAGGCTGGGAACCTGCACCCTGGCCCAGTCACACTCAGCCATCTGCCAGCAACAGTGTTTCTTTTTTTAATCTTGAAAATACAGCCTGCCTGGCCTTCCACAGCACAGCTGGTAGGGGGTGGGGTGGGATAATTATGGCCAGAATGGAGGCAGTACTGAGGGGCAGGTGGCCCAGGATTGCTGCCAACAGACCAAGGTTTCAGGCTGGGAACCTGCACCCTGGCCCAGTCACACTCAGCCATCTGCCAGCAACAGTGTTTCTTTTTTTAATCTTGAAAATACAGCCTGCCTGGCCTTCCACAGCACAGCTGGTAGGGGGTGGGGTGGGATAATTATGGCCAGAATGGAGGCAGTACTGAGGGGCAGGGGTAGGGGAGTGGCTGACTGGTAGTTTTAGTTCTCAAACTATGGCCTGTGTTGTTTCCAGTTCCATCCACTTACTTACCTACCCACTTACTCATCCATCCACCTATCCAACCACCCCCCCATTCCATCATCCATCATTCATCCACCGATTCATCATCCACCCATCCACCCATTCATTATCTACCTATTTATCCACCATCCACCTATCCACCCATCCATCATTCATCCATCCATCCATCCACTCATCCACCCATCCATCCACTCATCTACCCATCCATCATCCATCCATCCATCCATCCACTCATCCACCCATCCATCATTCATCCATCCATCCATCCATCCATCCATCCACTTATCCACCCATTCATTATCTACCTATTTATCCACCATCCACTTATCCACCCATTCATTATCTACCTATTTATCCACCATCCACCTATCCACCCATCCACTCATTCATCCATTCACCCCATCATCCATCCACTCATTCATTATTCACCCATCATCCATCCATCCACCCACCATTCATTCACCCATCCATCATCCATCCATCCATCCATCCATCCACTCATCTACCCATTTATCTACCATCCACCTATCTACCCGTCGATCCATCTATCCACCCATCCACCATTCATCCATCATCCATCCATCCATTCACTCATCTACCCATCCATCCATCATTCATCCATCCATCCACCATTCATCCACTCATCTATCCATCCATCCATCCATCCATCCACTCATCCACCCACCCACCCACCATCCATCCATCCACCATCTACCAACCTATCCATCATCCACCATCCACCTATTCACCATCCCTCCATCATCCATCCATCCATTCATCCATCCATCTACCTATCCATCATCTACCCATTTATCCACCATCTATCCATCCTACCAACCAAAGGATGTTCTGTACAGGAAGTGCAGCGACTCCCACTTATGGGCACCCAAAGAGGCAGCCGGTGCTGAGCATACAACTCTTTTTTTCTGCTGGCTTTGTGCAAAGTGCCTGGGTGCTGGACCATGCAGTGCAGCCCTTGGGATGCTCAGCCACAGCGCCAAGACAGGTCTGGACACAGCAGACATCAGGAACCACTGAACCACTGACGGGAGTTCCCTGAGAACCACACACACTTGGCTGGTAATGGGACTCCAAGGTCTTTGATTCTGTCTCTAAATGGCTTCCTGCTGAAGTAGGAATGGTGGTGGGACCCTGCCCAGGGCTGGATCCCTGGTGGCCCAATGTATGTTCCCAGTACTGTGAATGAAGTAGGATCTGGTGTCAGTTTCACACACATAGCATGAATGAACAATCTGTGCCCTTCCATTAGAGACTTCAAACTGACTGAGTAAATGAGACATGTATTTGGGTCATTACATGTGACAGCAACTAGAGTACATGGGTTGCCAACAGTTATCCATTCACCAAACACTCCTGAGCTCACTGTGGTCCAGGCATGGTGCCAGGCTCTACATGAAAGATGGTCAACAGACGGTGGCTCTGGCCAGCACAGTGTGGAGAGCTGGAGGAGGGGGACATAGGCTGGTAGGGGACCTGGAGGAAGACAAGTACAGAGACCCCTATGAGCTCAGTCTCTGTTTTCCCCAGACTCCTCCAGACATTCCTGTCAATAAAGGTTCCAGCAGTCTGGGTGGTTGGGTGCCCCAGGCCTGGGCACACTGAACACCAGGTGGCACTCTGCAGGTGAGCCAGGCAGCAGAGTCCCCTGGCCAGCCTCCCCAGCTCAGCCAACCCTCTTCACCACCTTCCTGGGACAAGGATGGTCACATGCCATGACTCTCCCTAAAACCACTTCTGCAGTCTGAGTCCAGATGCTCACCCCAAAATGGACTGCGTGGCTTGCCTCTGGCTTCTTCCTCTGCTTGCCTTTAAGGCATCCTATCCTGGGAGGGGAGCTGGCTGCCAACCTCTCCAGCTGAGGGATTCTCCTTGGGGCTAGCTGCAGGCCACCTGTTACAGTGTCCTGTGGGCTCGTTGGTGAACTGCTGTCTTAGTTTGGGTGGGGTGTGAGGTGCTGGGGGCTTAGGAGAAAGTATCCCCTTCCTCACAGGCTGTGAGACCTCACTGGGCCTCAGTTTCCTCCCTTGTCATGCTAGAACCAGGAGCGTGCAAATGAACATGCCACAGGGGGGCCTATGCCACGTGTGCGCGGCTGTGAGAAGAGGCCCTGCGGGTGGGGTTTCCAGTGACGCACCGGGTGGGAGAGCAGCGCGCCCCTCTGTGTCCCTGGGTTCTGCTGTACTTTTCAGGGTGTGCGTCCGGGAGGCTGTGCTCCTACACCCTCGGCCTGTGGGGGTGAGGAGGAGGTGGTCTCTGCCGTGTCTTTGGGGTGCAGTGGGGGTTGAGCTGGAGCGCACCTGGGGTTGGGGGGGGTAGGAGAGTAGGCTTCCGGGAGCCGGTGTGGTGGAAGCGGGAGCAGCCGGCGGGGCTGGCGTTGGAGGGGTGGCGAGTCCCGGCTTCCGGAGGTGGAGGTGCGCGCGCGGGGCGGCGGGGAGGGGGGAGCAGGCGCTAGCTCTTTAAAAGGCCGTCGGAGGCTCCGCGCCTTTGGCCCGCACTTGCCGTGCAAACTTGCGGGCTGGGCTCGCGCGTGCGGTGCTGCAGGGCCGTGGGCGCCGGGAGCGGAGCGGCCCCCTCGGCCCTCGGCCTGCACTCCCGGCGCTCGGGCCCCTCCCGCGCCGCCTCGCTCCCTGTCCCTCGCTCGCTCTCTCCTGCTCGCTCTCCAGCGCGCTCTCTCGCTCGCTCTCATTTTCTCCCCGCCGCTGCCGTTGCCGCTGCCGCCGCGGCGCCGCCAGGTGCCCGCACCCCGGCCGGTTGCGCTCGCTGCTGCCCAGCCCCGAGCCTCGGTGCATGCAGCGCCCCGCACCGCCTCGCCTGCGCTCTCGGGCTCACATGCTGGGCTCCGCTGGCATCAGCAGCATCAGCAGCATCAGCAGCAGCACCACCGCGGCCGCCGCTCCCGGCTCCTGCTCCCCGGGAGCAGCAGCTTAACACCGTGGCCGCTCGGAGCCTCCGGCCGCTCGGCCGCCAGCTTATCCCCGCTGCGCCCAGGACTCCGGGCGGCTTCGTGCCGGGCTCGGTCCGCAGCGTCAGCACCGCCCGCCGCGGCCGGGGCTCCGGGCACCGCGAGGACCGGAGGCCGGCCACCGCCTCCCTGCGCTCCCGGGGAGCAGCCGACCCCTCGCTGCTGCGTCCACCTCCTGGCGCGTGGTGAGTAGTGGTCCGAGGGGCGCGGGCGGAGGGGACCCTCGCGCCTGGGGAGGAGTCTTCCGCGAGCTCCCGCGCTCCGGGAGGAGGGCTCGGGACCCGGGTAGAGGGGCTCCTTTCTGGGCTGGGGCCTCCCCTCCGACGCCCCCGAGGGGACGGGGCACGGCTCTTTGCGGGTCTGGGGGAAAGTGGAGTGGGGTGCTGTGTTGGGCTTCACGGAGGGGGTGGCGCCAGTCCCGGTGGGGAGTGGCAACACCCGCGCGCCCGTTCTCTAGAGAGGCCGGGTGGCGGGGGCGCTGGCCCGGGCGTGCGCCTCTGTCCCGCGGTCGCCGGCCCCGCACCGCGGCTCCTTTCCCGGGCATCACGCTGGCCCGGGTGCCACCTTCGCCACCCGTCCGCAGCTGCCGCGGCTTGCGGTGGCGCTGCAGGTCTGGGGGTGTCTCTTCGCAGCCTGGGGAACCTGGGGGTCAGGCTCTTCCTGGACTACTGGGACCGTCCCCTCCCCGGGACCCTGGTGAACCGAGCGTCTTGGCCGCAGCCCCTTCAGCGGGCTGGCTGTGTGTGTCCGCGGGCTCTGTTGTGCGCGCGAGTGTCGCGGGAGGTCCCTCCTGCTTCGGGGTCGGCTTCCCCGCGCACCCGTGGGCGCAGCTCCCCTCCCCGTGCGGGGGCGGGGCAGAGGTAGAGGCCCGACCGTGCGCCGGCGCCCCCGCACCCGCGCTTGCAGGCTGTTTGTGCCGAGCTGTGGCAGCAGCAGGCGCCGGGGAGTCCTGAGCCAGAAGGACGAGCGCCCTCTGCCCCTAGGCCCAGAGCGACACCCTCACAGTCAGACTAGCCTTTTTGGAGGGTTGCCCCGTTTCTTCCCCTTGCTCTCTGGCCAGGGAGAAAGCTGGCTTTGGGGGACACTCTCTGAGCTGTACTTGCAGGGCTGGGTGCTCCAAGCCACGGGGTGTGCTCCGGAGTGTACCTGTCACAGACACCACCCCCCCTTTCTGGATGGGGACTTAGGACAGGCAGGGAGGCAGTGCTTAGAGAGTTAACCTCCTCAATACCCTCGTCTCATAGAGCTTTTCTGCAGCCCAGCCTGACTGATATCCAATCAGCCCTGGGAGGAAGGAAGCCTCCCTTCTCCTTCCAACCCCTGAGCCCTCTGGGTGGCCTGGCCTTGGCCCACTTTCCCCTAGGCCTGGGTCCCCAGTGCATGGTGGCAGGACTTTGGTGAAGAGCTGAGAACTTGGGGTTTTCCTGTGTTGCTTAGAACTTCCCACAGGAGCCTGGAGACTTCTGGTGAGTGTGCACACTGGTGTGGGACACTTGAGAGGCCCCTATCACTGTTCCAGGGCAGGCTGTAGGGTACCAAGGGTGTCAGCCCTCCCCTTTCCCCAGAGGACTGCTTCCCAGACACCCCACCCCCAAGTCTTGGTCAGATCCTAGTCGTGGGTGGGGACCCCTGGGAATGGAGCCTCTGAGCTCAGCCCTGCGTTGTATGCCTGCCCTCTTGGGAAATAGGTGCTATTGCTTTCTGTGACTGTCCTCAGCTGCTATCATCCTCTCACCACTCAGGGAGATGTACCCTCAGCAGTGATCTCCCCACCCAGAAGCTGGAGGTGTTCAACCTACAACAATGTTCCATGTGTGGTAGATTTTCAGGCATGGTCAGAGAGAACAGGTCCAGAGCCTGCAGGTGGGAGGCAGGAACAGCCAGGAGCAGGGCAGGAACTAGCAGCTTTCCTGGCCTCTGGCCTAGTGCAGGTTGCTCCTCCCCTCCCCTGACTGGTGTGGGTAGCTTCCTTCTGTTGGAGGTTTGATGTCTCCAGGAGCTCTGTGGCCAGGCTGTGAGTGAACAGTGTGTGTGTGTGTGTGGTGTCAGAAGGGCCTGGAAGGGCTCTGTACCTCATCCCCATCCTGAGGGGTCCACAGCCTAACCTTGGGCTGTTGGGCCATCCCTGCCCCACCACAGGGGACAGCTGGTAGGAAGAGACAGAGCAGAACCCATGGACTACACAGCCTTGTAATTATAGCTGACAGGCATGTCCTCGCCCCTAGACAAGCATGGAGCAGCAGCCCCTAATTACCACCCACCCCAAGGCATCTGCCCACCCCTGTTGTCCTCCTCCTCTCAGCCCAGAACCCAAATTTCCAGTGGGTTTGCCTACTGGCAGACCGGGCAGCTGGACCTGTCAGCTGTCTGCCCCTGGAAGGTTTGCTGGCTTCTGGGGAATGCCACTGCCTGCCACCTGGAGAAGGCGTGGGGGAGCTGGCATCCAGGCTCCTAGGGCTGGCAGAAGGGCTGCAGGCTGAACAGGTCCACCTGGGAGAGAAGCAGAGCTGCTTGGATGGAGTACCAACTTCTTGCGGCTCCCACTGAGAGCTTGTTTTGATGAGTGTCAGCTCCGCCCTAGTCAACTGGGACTGCAGAAAAACAAACTGAGGAGGGGCTGGAGGTGGTCCAGTCAGTAGAGTGCTTGCAGCAGAAGCAAGAGGACCAGAGTTTGGGTTCCCAGCACCCATGTAAGAAAGCCATTTATGGTGGTGTACCTGTAGTCCCAGAATTGGGGAGATAGAGACAGGTGGATCTTTGGAGCTCCCAGGCCAGCCAGCCAGCTTAGTCTAATCAACGAGTTTTCTGTTCAGTGAGAGACCTGTCTCAAAACCTGGAGAGACTGGAGAGATGGCTTAACGGTCAAGAGCATTGGCTCCTCTTGCAGAAGACCCAGATTTGGTTCCCAGCACCTACATGGTGGCTCACATGGACACATAACTTCAGTTCCAGGGGATCTGACACCCTCTTCTGGCCTTTGTATGCACTGCATCCATGTGGTACACTAACATGAAGGCAAAACACTCATACACATACAAAAATCTAAAAAATATTTTCAGGACATGGTGGCACACACCTTCAATCCCAGCACTCAGAAGGCAGAGGCAGGCAGATCTCTGGGAGTTTAAGGCCAGCCTGGTCTACAAAGTAAGTTAACAGCTAGCCAGGGCTACATAATGGAACCCTGTTTCAAACAAAACAGAACAAAATAAAAGGGGGAGGGTTACTGAGAAAGATACCTGACGTCTACTTCTGTTCTCCACACATACACAAGTGTGTGTGTGCACCTGAACCTGTTTGTGTGCATAGGTATATTACACACACCCCAACTGGGAGTTGTGGCTGCCTTGGGCTGGTCAAGTGCCAGTTGTTCCTCAGTCCCCTCCTACCTGCTCCTTGCTCTCTGCTCCTTTGTCTCCCTCTGGCTTCTCTCCCTCCCAAGTCTGTGACTTCTCATTCCCAGCAAGCCTCCTTTTGCTTGCCACCCTGAATCTTTTGCCCCTGCCAGAGTGACTCCTACAGGGAGTGACATAAGAGGAACCTGCTTAGAGAATCCGACTCTGGCTCCTGGCTGGCTCAGCTCTGAGTTGCCACGGACTCCGAGCCCTTTGAGCACACAGGCAGAGGGGAGGCTATTCTAGCTTGTCTCTGTTCTGTCGGCTTCTTGGTGAAACCAGCACCTCGAAGATGATAAAAGTCACCCTCCTTAAATGAATGATGGTCCCTCTCATCGATGTGTTTTATTATAAACCTCGCTGTCAAGCAGTCTCATGGTGACAGTCAGGTGTTAATGTATGTGTACATGCATATATTAAATGAATTGGGTGATGTGTTCGTAATGGCATTATCAGGACCCCGTTCAATTAAAGTAGATATTATCTGCAGTAATTGGGAAATGATGGCCCATAATGACATCCTGTACCATTTTAAGCCCGAGTGACATGGTCTAGTTAAGCCACAACTCTCCTGGAGAAGGCACAGTTACCGTCACTGTGATGAGAGAGTGATGGCTGTGGGACCAGGCCAACTCAGCAGCTGCTCCAGCGGGCAGGGCCAAGGTGTGGGGGCTAGAATCCTGGGTCCCCTGGATACCTTCCCACATCCTTAGGTGACAGAAACCAGCCATTGGACTTGCTTGTTGGGGCAGGACTAATAGTAAAAAATTAAATCCTGCCCCAGCTACAGAGCCGTCTTAAGATTTAAATATAGAGATGAAGATCAGGGACTCGACCTGAATTCTGGAGCTCCTGGTGGGCACTGTCATAGAGTCGCCATCACTGCACCTTCCTGGTGGATGGCCTCTGTGTGGCCTAGGGATGGGAGTCCCACCCTCTGCCATAGTTTTGCCCATAGCTGTGCGGAAGGGCAGGTCAAACGCCTACTCCAGGGCAGTGCTGGGGGTTGTTGGCTGTGTTTAAGAAGACAGGATTTGGAGGGAGTCGTGGCCGAGATGAGACGGCAGTACTGCCAGCCAGAACCCAGACACTTGTGCACTGGGGGATTGTGCTGGAAAGCTGGGGATGGGGTGGGATGGGGAGGATACGTCAGGGCTCATGGACATGGGGCCTGAAGGTTGGAGGAGACATGGTAATGTGAACTTTGGAGCTCTGAGGACAGCACAAAGTGTTTCTGGGTTGGACCGATGGGATAGATGGCTGATGCCCTGTGCATCGGTGATAGATGGAACAAGTTGATGAGACTTGTTCCAGCTGATGTAGGCAGTTGTGGCCTGTACAGGTAGCTGCTCTTCTAGGCTTAAGATTTCTCTTGTTGAGTCCCTGGTCATTGAACCCAAAGTCCCCATGGTGGGGGCTTATCTGTCTCCATGGTGGGCATCTGGCCTTAGCCAGTTACTATCTGTGGTCCTCAGCAGTCCCTCATCCACTGTTGCAGCCCTGCAGGCACATTGGCCTCCTGCTGTTCCTTAAGAGAATGCTGAGCCCAGGGCCTTTGCACCTATGTTTCCTTCTTCCTTGGTTTGCCTTTTCCTGGAGATCCACAAGTCTCTCCCTTTTCCTGCTCTGAATTTCTGTTTGAGTGTTACCTCTTCAGAGAAGCCTTCTCTGATGGTCCTCTCTTCCCAAAGAAGCCCTCTGGGTACCTGCCCCACCGCCTCCCACCCCCAGCTATCCAGTTGCAGGCATGGGTGTGTTATGTCTGCACACATGGGTTCGTATGTCTGTTTCAGTGCAGGGCGAAGCAGACCGTGATTGCACAGCCCACGTTTGAAGGCCACGCTGAGTGGCTCAATGGTTGTGGTTGGCAGTAGAAACTGTATTCCGTGCTTGATCACACATGAGGGTCATAAGCATTTGGTTTTAAGGCTGAATCCCTTCTCTGTGGACTGCAGATGCTGCAAGCCCCTGACCTGGGCTCTGCCTCAGCGGGGTAGCACAGCTGACTCAGGGCAGGGATCTGACTTCGCCTGTAATTCATTTAGCATCCCTTTTTTATGTGTGTTATGAACCTTGAACGGGAGATGAAGATGAAGAGGAGACATGGGCCCTTAATGTGTTCCCAGGTCATCTGAGGGGCCTGGGATATTTGCTACAAGGGACTGGAATAGTCTGGGCAGGCTTCCTGGAGGAGGCTCTCAGCTGCTTCTGGAAGGGTGGAATAACAGCCACAGGGTGTGTTCTAGATCCCATCCCCATACTCTTTCTCTTTCCACACACATTTCTCCAGTGCTTTCTGTCCTGCAGAGAACCAGTCACCTTTGAATCAGGTCTATACTCTGAGAGAACCAGGAAGGATGGCCTACAAGTAGAATCTGGGTTTCAGAACTTGATGGGTTCCCATTCTGGACTGGTGAGAGCTGGACCCCGATGGAGCCCTCTGTTCTCAGAACAAGGCTGTAGGCAGGATGCTGAGAGACCCAGAGCTGTCTGCCATTTAGAATGAGGCTGGACTAGCTTGGGGGTCACAGGCTTGGTGGTGGAAAATTCCAGATACCTCTTCCCTGTCCATCAATCCCTTTTACAGCCTGAGCCCCTGCTTCAAGTGGCACTGTTAGAGCTGCTCCTTTTGGTTAGAAGGCCCTGTAGACACAGAGGAGGCCATCTGGTGAGGAACACAGGCCCCCACCATCCCCTCATAGCACCCAGGCTTCATACCATGAAAGGCAGGGACTTCAGGGTGCAGAGGCCACAGAGAACACGGCGGACGCTGCTGTCCACATAGAAGGCTGTGTTCCAGGCCAAGCAGGAGTGCTGGCCTCGGGCAGACAGTGTGTTGTGAGCTTTCTCACTGGGCACCTGTGAGGTTGGGGAGCTTTGGGTGACCTGCTTCCCAGGTCTGGGTGCTGTCCCTGCCCCTTTGGGAGGAGATTGTCTAACAAACTGCATCTTTGCTGGGCAGTGGGGTCCTCAAGGGGTGGGTGGGGCAGAGAAGGGCTGAGGTAAATAGGGAAGAGGCTTCCAGTTCCCCCTCATTTTGCCATTTGGGGTATGAAATGTGAATGTTGAGGTATCTACACAGCTAAGGAGATTTAGGGGCACCCCCTGCTGAGCCATTCATAGCCCCTAGGTCTGAGCACCTGGGCTGGACTGGATGGGAATAAATGTACCCAGAAAAGTGGTGGAGAGGTTATGGACAGGCCACTGAGCAGAAGGTACAGAGGAGGTCCAGGAGAGCTGAGGATGTGGCCTGGGCTTCACCAGCTCTCCCTGCTCCTGCTGGGGGCGGGCCTGGTGTTCCCGAGTGCCCACACCCCTCCTGGGGAAAAACCATCATAGGGCCAAGGGCAGTGGCCACTCCAGCCCTGTAAACAAGGTACAAAAGGTTATTCCTGTTTTTTTTCTTTTCTTTCTTTTGTTTTGGCGTTTGGGTTTTGTTCTGTTTCATTGGCTCTGGAAGAATCAAAAGCAGCTCAGTGAAAAATCACTGTAGCTTTGGTGAATCTTGGTGGTCCTCTTGGCCTGGCAGTTGTTCTGTGGCCTGTGGTTCCTCCTGGCTTAGGCCATGCCTGGACAGGAAGGACTCAGGTCAGAAGAGCAGGATGAACCTGCTTGTGAGGACCTGAGACAGGTCCTTGAGCCCTATCACACTGCCTTCAGGTAGTGTGGCCCCTCCATTGGTCCCCATCCTTCCCACACTGCAGCCCATCCCAAGCACCACTTATATCCTTATTGGCTGTTCTAGAATGTTCTGGAAAACATCTTTCAGCTGTTGATCTGTGATGCCCACCCTCCCCTCTGCTCTTCCTCCTCTGGTGCTAGCCTGTGGCCCTGGGTAAGGGGACAGAGGAGGGCTGAGCCTGGAACAGTGGGGCAGGGAAGAGGAAGAGGAGGGAGACCTTGGACTGCAGCTGTTCTGGGGAGAGGCACCCCTCACTGCCCCATTTGAGCTTCCCTGGCTATTTTTAGTTGGCGGGGTGGAGAGTCTGGGGCCTGGGGAATGAACTTCAAAGAAGCCCCCATCTCACTGCAGGTGGAGACTGACGTCCCCAGAGCTGTTCTCTGGCTCCTTTCGGGGTATTTTTACTCCTTCCTTGTTCCTGTTACAGCATCAAAGGACAGAGGGGAGGCTGAAGGAGGTGCTGTCTGCCCAGCTCTTAGGAGGCGCTCAGGAATGGCAGGCCTGCCTGGAGGGCGGGGGACCCGTTGTGGCCAGAGGCTGGGACCCAGACCCAGGAGGGAGGCCTTGTGGGGGATCTGGCTAGCTGGAGCTCCTGATTCCAGTCCTGTGTGCTCTGGCCTTTCTCCTCTCTGGGCTTCCTTCCTCTCATGCCCTGACCATCTCAAGTGTGTGATGTGTTGAACTTATCCTCCTGGAGAAGTAGGCAGTGGACCTGTAGGAGGGGCCACAGGCCTGAGCAGGGCCTCTGTCAGAAGCTGCTATATCTGGGCTCCCATCCCCAGCCCACCCTGATACAACTCACATTCTGTCATAGTGCCAACCCCTTCTATGTGACACCTCAGCAAGCCCAAGGGACTGCCTGGCCCTGCAGTGAGGCGGCCAGGGCATTGGGCAGTCTCTCCTGAATTATCTGTCAGTTCATGGTATGAACAGCAGTGTCCCCACTGGGTCTTTCCTACAGCCACACAGAAAGTGATCTGGTTGACTCCTTCAACATGAGGGATGAGGGGTGACCGCTCTGAGCAGAGGTAGTCTCAAGTCTAGCCCAAGACTCCGGTCCTGGTGCCCAGCCCTAAGTTCCTGCGTCCTTCTGTGCTCTGCTTTTAGATTTGATGTGTCTTGATTTGCTGAGTGACTCTGGGAGAGTTATGGGATGCCTCTGGGCTACTAGTTCACTGGCAGAGTGGGGCTAAGTGGAATCAGTCACTAAGCTATCTGGCTGCGAAGGAGCTGATGTAGATGGAACACGAGAGGAGGGCTGGGGTGTACCTCAGTGATAGAGCAACACACACACACACACACACGCACACACACACACACACACACACACACACACACACACACACCGTGTGAGGTCCCCATGTCCAGAGAAGTCCAGGATCTGAGGTTGGACTCAGATCTGGCATCTTCTTTCTTTTTGGGGGCCTCAGTGGGAGGAATAGTTGGGGGAGGGATGATTGTGAGACCCTTGCTGGGCCTTAGTAGAGGCACACCATTTCTCTGGGGGAGCTCTCAATCCAAAGCCCAGGTCCTCTTCCAACTGCCTGGGAAACTGAGGGACAGAGTTGTCAAATGGTAATCTGGCCTTCACTTGACAAACCCATGGAGAAGGGGCCTGAGGGGAGTGTCATCTGACCCAGCTCCTAGCCATTCTCTGGGTGACCTCTGAAATGGAGCGGGGAGGCTGCTGGCTTCAAGGGGGAGGCTGGGGGGGGGAGGAACACTGGAACCCCAGGGGAAATTAGCCCAAATTAGCTGTGAGAATGAGGAAGAGCTGTGTTTTCTCCTCTACTCCCGCAGATAAATATTTAATCACAACAACAATAATGACGATGATTGGGACAATATGCACCGACTCCGGCCGCAACCCAAGCCCTGTAGAGAGTTGGAGGGAGACAAAAGGAGGAAGAGAGGGGGACAGGCAGGGGATGCTGGCTTTGCCCCCTGCTCCAAGCACTTGTGTGGCTGGGGTGAACGTGTGGAAGTGGAGGACCACCTCACTCTCTGAATCCCCAGAGCTCTGCTCCTTCCTAGCATTAAGGAGAATCATAGCTCCTGGCTGGCTGCTCTCCTCCCACGGTCCTAGCTTCACCTCCTGGATCCTGAGTCCCTCAAACAGTTGAGTTTCAAGTTCACAGCTGTGAGCTGAAGTATTTGTGGAACTCACAACACAGTGCTCTCCCAGGGCCCCAGTTTCCCCATCTCTGGATTGGTGTCCTGCTGAAGCTTCTGAGGGTAATGTTGAGGAGCCCATTCCTCCTCAGCCTTTTGTGCTGTCCCTGGGAGTACTGGCCTCTGTGGGTAGTGAGCTCAGGCCCTGCAGGTCTTCAAATGTGACCCAGTTTCTGCCTCCAGTGCTGCATTCCCCAGGAGCTGGGCCGCAGCCGCGGAAATCAAGTGGAGATTTATGGTGTCTTTGGCGATAACCTCCCAGCTCCATCTCCCAGGCTCCTGATGAGGGATCAGAATAGCTAATGTCTTGTTCAGGCTGAGGTTTGATAATCTCTCTCTCTCTCTCTCTCTCTCTCTCTCTCTCTCTCTCTCTCTTCTTTCTCAGGTTGGTAGGAGAAGATCGGAGCTGTTTTCTTTTTCTTTGATGCTAAGATACGCCAGGCCAGGAGCACGCTTCCCTTTCCAAAGCCAGATACAGCAATCCGTGGTGGGAACGAGGATCCAAACCCTCCTGCAGCCCAGGCCACTGGCTGTGGTCTGTGGTCTTGGCCTGTGTGGGCCTCTGAGTACCATCAAAGTGTCCAGGAACAGGGGGGAGTTGTGGCATGGGCCACCCCACTGGCCATCCTCGGTCACCCTGTTGCTGAAGCTGTCCTACTTATGTGTGCCCAGGCCATGGGGCCCAGAGCCTGCCAGGGCTGAATGCAGCCTGTTGTTCATGGGTCTCTAGGCCTTTCCAAGATGCCTGGGAAGCGAGGCCGGGGCTGGTGGTGGGCCCGACTGCCCCTCTGCCTGATCCTCAGCCTTTATGGCCCCTGGGTGCCTTCATCCCTGGGGAAGCCCAAGGGTCACCCCCACATGAATTCCATCCGAATTGATGGGGACATCACGCTGGGAGGCCTGTTCCCTGTGCACGGCCGGGGCTCTGAGGGCAAGGCCTGCGGGGAGCTGAAGAAGGAGAAGGGCATTCATCGGCTGGAGGCCATGCTGTTCGCTCTGGACCGCATCAACAATGATCCGGACCTGCTGCCCAACATCACGCTGGGCGCCCGCATTCTGGACACCTGCTCCAGGGACACCCATGCCCTGGAGCAGTCCCTGACCTTTGTGCAGGCGCTCATCGAGAAGGACGGCACAGAGGTCCGCTGCGGCAGTGGTGGCCCACCCATCATCACCAAGCCGGAACGTGTGGTGGGTGTTATTGGAGCTTCTGGGAGCTCTGTCTCCATTATGGTTGCCAACATCCTCCGCCTCTTCAAGGTTAGTGCCTTTGTGGACCCCTGGTTCCTGACTGGTGGCTCCTGTCCTCCATGGTAGAGTGTGTGAATAGGGCGGCTCTCAGGCCCTGGTGCCTGGTCCTGTGGTGGGAACATGGGCAGAGACGGTGAGGGTGGTACCTGGGGACCTGGTCTGGGTGCTGACCATGGTGCTGAGGCAGTGGCGCCTGCTTCCACTTTTCCCTTGGACCCTGAACCTGGAGGAGGCAAAAGTGCAAAAGAACGTCAGAGAGGAGAGACAGACAGACAGGCAGACAGACAGACAGGCAGGCAGATGGATGGATGGAAGGGCAGAGACAGCAGTGTTGGAGTTGCCAGGGAGAAAAGCAAGGCTTTTGTTTTGACACTGTTCTCAAATAATTGGAATTCCCAAGAAAGGTGTGTTTTTCTTCTGGGTAGTTGAGGAAGCCCCTGGAGGCCCTCCTTTGGGTCCAGCTGGAGAACAGCAACCTGGTTTTGGGATGGGGTAGGGCTGTGGACCCAGGAGCGTACCGAGGGGAAGGTGGACAGGCCCGGTGGGAGCAGGCCTGGGCCTCCAGCCTTGAGCTCTGAACCTAGCCCCTGCCTCCTTCTTGCCCTCCCCTCTTCTCCCTCCAGAGCCCCGCCCTGCCCCCTCCACTGCCTCCCTTTCCCTCCGGAGCCCTGCCCTGCCCCCTCCTCTGCCTCCTTTCCTCTCTTCCTGGGGCCAGAGCTGCTGATTTGCAATTCAATTGGAGCCAAGTGCTTCGCTAAGCTGCTAAAACAACTGAAAGCTACCAGGGAGAAGGAAAAAAACGTTACGAGCATTTTACCAATAATTATGCACCGGCTCCTCTTTCCCTGAGCCTGCCTTGTTTGCACTGTGCTTGTGGAAGAGAGACTGGAAGAGGAGGGCACCAGAAGAGGCCGCTGGTCCTCCCTCTTCCCTCTGACTCTGACCTCTGGGGCTCTCTGGTCTCCAGAGCTGGCTGAGGCCTGGGAGAAGCTACTGGTACCACTCCAGGAAGAGCAGAGGCGGATCCCTCTCACCTGGGGCTCATTTGCCCAATTCCCAGGATGCATCAGGACTTGGGGGGGTGCCTCTAGGAGGCTGCGGTCAGGGGATGAGTGGAGGAGAGGATCCTCGACCAATGGGGTAGGAGAGTACATACACCCTGCCTGCACGTGCAGCCATCAAGAATGTGTGTGTTTGTGTGTGTGTGTGTTTTCGTGTGCATCCATCCCACTGTGCCTTGTGGTTCTGAGGACAGCCTCCCCCCCGCCCCCCCCAGCTGTTCGTTTTACTTGATTTGGGTGTTGGACCAGCAGGAACCTCAAAGAAAATGCTGTTCCTGCAGTGGGCATTTCAAATGGTCCCTGGGGACTGTGCTGCCCTGACCATTTCAGGGCTTCTTGGAGGACTGCTTAGAGCGAGCAGCTTGGTTGGGTCCCCCCACAGTGCTAGCCTCGTGAAGAGGAGGGGACTGTGGGGATGCTGGGCCTAATTGTTCCTGGCCTGCCCCAGTGAATCAGCCAGGCCCAGCCAGGCTGGGGAGGACCTGGACCACCCAGCAGATGGGACCTGCTCCGGGCTCCCATTGAGACCGGTTTAGCTCCCACGCCTCAGGAAGGCTCACTGCAGGTGTGGCAGTGGCTTTCTCACCTGTGGGTTGCATGGAACCTTGGGGCTCTTTGCTCAGAACTCAAGAGGCCTAGCTTCGGTGAAGGGCCCTCCCAGTGCCCAGGATATAGGGAGGAGGACCCTTGCGTCAGGGCACTGGCCCCCTGACCTGCAGAAACTCACAGCATAGCCCATCTGGGTATCAGGTTTCAAAGTATATTTACAGGAATGTGGATATTTGGGGGACAAGGTACTTAGGGCCCACTCCACAAGGAGGCTGTGACTTCTGTGCTATTCTCCCCAAAGATGGGGTGGTTAGGTATGAGGGGGCTGGGGCTCAGGGACTCCTTGTCCTGGTCAGATGTGAATGGGCCTGGCTGTTTGGTCTGTCCCTCTTAGGGTCGCAGGTGTTGGTGTATCTCAGGGTGGGAGCCTGGGAGCCTGGGGAGAGAGAAGGGAGGTCCTGACAGGGGGACTGCTAAGGAGAAGGGGTAGGGGAGCTCAGCCAGATGGCTGTGGTCTGTGCTCCCCAGGTCCCTTTCAGCAGTGTTAATGGTCCAGACTGGTGATGAGAGGCCTCCTCAATAATTAAACTGGTAGAAATGAGAGGCTGGGTGAGAAACTCAAAAACCATTTACAGAGGCAAGAAAGTTGAATTTCTTAGGGGAGGGTGGGGCAGGAGCTGAGGGGAGGTGGCACTGGGGCCTGGCAGGCATCTTCCCCTAGGTGGGCACTGCCTGTCTCCATCCCCTTGGTCCTGATAGAGACACTCTGGCAAGGGGGCTGGGCTTTGCCACTGTGACCACCACTTTCCTTCCTCCTGAGCAGGGTTCTGGTGGCCCCTCCAGGAAATGTATGCTGGAGAACACCCCAAGTGGATAGCCTGCCTGGAAGGTGCTAATGGGGTGCAGTCAGGACCTGGTTGTACATCATAACTGCAAGGGACTGGTTCCTGGTCCGAGACGTGGAGCACAGCTGGGCTGCTTGTGTGTCCTGTTAACAACCAGCTCACAAAAATTGGGTGGAAAGTGGACGTGGACTCAGGCCTTCTTGGGGAGCAGGTCTCTGGGAATCCAAGGGCCTGACAGCGTCTATCCCTCACTTTCTGCTTCTTCAGCTTCAGCTTGGCCTGTTCTCCCAGAAAAGGGTTTGAAGGATTCCTTGTCAGGTGCCCAATCCCTGAGGATGTGGCCATACCTGCCGTGTTGTGGGGATAGCTCTGTCAGGCCCTCCAGAGTTACTTGACCCCCACTTACTATATCAGTCATTGACACCAGAGTGTGAATGAGCCAATAGGATCTTTTCTTGAGAACAGCTGTTGCTGGGAGGGGGAGGAACAGAGTACCGGCTCCTGAGAGGAACCAGTTTTGTTTTTTTCGTTTACCCTGAGCACCTGTAAGGAAGTCAGACTGTTTTACATGGGAGAGAGCTGAGGTCTGGCAAAGGTGAGGCCGTCCAGTGTGGTTGGTGAACTTGTACTCTATAGCCAGACAGCCTAGGACAGACCGCCTCAGCACACTGGTCAACCTTGCCTGGCCTCAGTGTCTTAGTTTGTAACATGCAGATGACAGTGGCCCCCAACCTCCCTGACCAGGTGGTGGTGGGGGTTAGGAGTTAGGGTATGAGCAAGACCAGCATGATGCCTGGCACACAGTCAGCCTTCAGGAAATGTCCTGCCCAGCTTGGAGCTGGGCCTTAAGTCAGTGTGAGATTCTCCACCGATGCAGAAGAGCTCCGATCAGACGGGCTGCTGCGACAGACGGTGACCTTTGAGGCTGATCCTGGAGAGTTCCCGCCATCTGCCAGGTCTCTCTCTCTCATCTTCCTGTGAGGGCTCCGTGCTCAGAGTGTTGACTGAGCAGCCTGCGTCACCGTGGGTAGTGTGACAGTGTTCTTGCTGGGCTCTGTCGGGGGAGGAAGAGACCTCCGAGCTGCCCCAGCCTGGCAGTGAGGGTCCTCAGTCTGCTCAGTGCTTGGAACCATCTTTCTTTCCCTCCCTCCCTCCTATTCTCCTTCCCTCCCAACAAGACCTCTTGTAGCCTAGGCTGTCCCTTCAACAGGAGGTAAGGCTGAGGCTGACTTGGAACTTCTGGTTCTTCTGTCTCTGTCTCCTGAGTACTGGGATTGAAGGCATGCAGCACCACAACGAGTTTATGCTGTGCAGAGGGAGGCGGGCGGGGGGCTGGAACGCTGGACTTTCTGCTTGCTAGGCAAGTACTCTGTCAACTGAGCTCCATCCCCAGCACCTAGAACCATCTTTCTAAAATTCAAATCGAAGGGGCTGGAGAGATGGCTCAGCAGTTAAGAGCACTGACTGCTCTTGCAGAGGACCCGGGTTCGATTCCCAGCACCCACATGGTGGCTATGAACCATCCTTAACTCCAGTTCCAGGGGAATTTGAAGCCCCTCTTCTGACCTCCATGGCATTGCATGACATGGGTGCTCTTACATACATGCAGGCAATATCCAGTTCCAGGAATTTGAAGCCCTCTTCTGACCTCTGCGGCATGCACGACACAGGCGCACTCACATACATGCAGGCAATACACTCATACACATAAAATAAAAATAATAAAATATTTGAAAAAACAAAACATCAAATTGAATCTGCTGTCCTGGCTACTTAAGCCTTGTATTGACTTCCCACTGTGCTTGGCAATGTCAGTCCCCACCTAGCTGGTGGCCTACGCTGTCGGACGCCCCCATCCACATCCCTTTCTCTAGGTGTGTACCCCATACCAGCCTTCATGTTCCTTGAGGATATCAAGCTGTTTTTCTTCTCTTTTCTTTTCTTTTTTCTTTTTTTTTTTGGTCTTTTTGAGACAGGTTCTCCCTGTAGCCCCAGCTGTCCTGGAACTCACTATATAGACCAGGCTGGCCTTGAACTCACAGAGATCTGCCTGCCTCTGCCTCTGGAGTGCTGGGATTAAAGGCGTGGGCCACCACGCCCCGCCCTCAAGCTGCTTTTCAACCCCAGGGCTTTTGCACCTGTTGTCCCCCCAATGTCTGGAATCTTCTCCCCAACTCTGAAGCTGGGTCTTTGTCCTGCAGCCCTTCAGCTCCCTGTGGTCTGACCTCACTTCCTGTCCTTTCTCTTCCTGAAACCCCTCACAGCTGCATCATCAGGCTCTTCACCTTCAGACCTGTCCTTCTTCCAATTTGCCTAGGGCCCCCCTTCCATATCTGGCCTGCTCCTGTGTGTATGGTCCATGAACTATACAAAGCCTTTAAGGTCTAGGCATGCCTAGCTCAAAGCTTATGGGCTGCATGTACCTCAGGATAGCTATGAATACAGCTCAACACAAACTCATAAACTTACTTAAAACATTATGAGGGGTTGGAGAGATGACTCAACTGGTAAGAGCACTTGCTGCTTCAGAGGACCTAAGTTCAGTTTCTAACAC